CTGACTGACAAAAATATGTTAACAAATCTGTAAAATTTCTTTATTATAGTCTTTGGAAGGACTTCCCAAGTAACCAAAAGTTCCGCATTCAACGATTAAAATCACTTTCAAGTTCCGTAAAGTTCAAATAAAGTTCCGACCGAACCTTCAAGTTCCATAAAGTTCAAATAAAGTTCCGACAGAACTTTCAAGTTCCATAAAGTTCAAATAAAGTTCCAACCGAACCATCAAGTTCCATAAAGTTCAAATAAAGTTCCGACCGAACTTTCAAGTTCCATAAAGTTCACATATAGTTCCAACAGAACTTTCAAGTTCCATAAAGTTCAAATAAAGTTCCGACAGAAGTTCCATAAAGTTCAAATAAAGTTCCGACAGAACTTTCAAGTTTCATAAAGTTCAAATAAAGTTCCAACCAAACCTTCCAGTTCCATAAAGTTCAAATAAAGTTCCGACCGAACTTTCAAGTTCCATAAAGTTCACATATAGTTCCAACAGAACTTTCAAGTTCCATAAAGTTCAAATAAAGTTCCGACAGAAGTTCCATAAAGTTCAAATAAAGTTCCGACAGAACTTTCAAGTTCCATAAAGTTCAAATAAAGTTCCGACAGAACTTTCAAGTTCCATAAAGTTCAAATAAAGTTCCGACCGAACCTTCAAGATCCATAAAGTTCAAATAAAGTTCCGACAGAACTTTTTAAGTTCCATAAAGTTCAAATAAAGTTCCGACAGAACTTTCAAGCCACATGAAACAATCCGCACAAGTCTTTATTAGTAACAAAATTTAATGTACGTAAATATTAAATGATCAGTGGCCCGAATAAATCATAATTCTTATATATTCTGTTAAAACATAAAAAAAAATTAAAAAGTAATTTCCTGGATTCGAACCCGTGTATTCGGCATGCGATCTACTAACGCTAACCACTGCGCCACAAATGTGTTGGAATACCATGCGGGCAAATACCAATTTCAAATTCATCAAGGTATTGTGTTTCGTATGCAAGTCAGTCAGCTGGCACTGAAAACTCCAACAGTAGGCGGGACAACAGCTCGCTTTAATATATTTCAGATGACGCAGCGGTTCATGCTGGGGCTCTCACGCAGAAGGACTGGGTTTAATTCTTCAAACAGCTCCAAAACTACTAATGCTGATAAATCATTAAACATAAATAACCTGCCTTTAGAAATAACTTTCATAAAAGTGCGAACTAAACATAGAATTGGTTTAGAGGGCAAAAACCCTTTTTAATTTATTTTCTAAAAGTTCCGTTCAAGTTCCGCCAGAAGCTGCTTAGAATTCTCTTCAATTATGATACCGGAACTTTCAAGTTCTTATAACGACTTAAAAATGAGGCTGCTTAGAATTCTAAAGACCATCACTAACTAAGCTGCTTAAGCCACAAATGGCCTTTTATCAGAACTTTTGGTTACTTGGGTTTGTTCAATGTTTATAATCTTGAAAAATTACTAATGGTTGCTTTCTAAGGAATTTGTCTATTTGAAAAATCTCCAAATCCTACAAAAATTTTGTTAAGTGATGTGTATCTTTTCTATAGATTGAAAATATAAAACATTAAGTTCCAGTTGTGAGAGGCGAATCTGTTTCCGGCTGAAGATTTTCTTAATGAAGTAACTGTCACAATTTCTAGAATTTTTTTTTTGTATGTCTGTAATTACGTAAACCTTTATCTGGACATTTGTTTTTTTTTCAACTCCGTAATTTTTCAATCAGTTTTAACACAAAACTTTTACTGAAAGTTTAGTCGAATTGTATGCAATATTCCAAGGGGTGTTCAACTCTGCACACCTTAATTCGTGCCGAGTTATTTGTTGTGTCAAAAGCTGTGCCAAGCGGTCTGCCGAACGTACCGATCAAGTACAATTAAAGTATGCTTATCAAGGTGTTTGGCAACCCTGAAAGTTATGACTTTTGTAATTTTGTTCACATTCTCAATTTCTCTGATGGATCATGCTAGACATTCACCTCCATTCTCATTAGATCGTTAGCGGGTCGGGAGGTGAAAGAGGAACTGCAAACCATCAAACCAATACGGTGTTCAAGCATAGTTCATTCCCACGCTTGGAGCAACATCATCGAACCAGTTTTAAATCATCTGATCGACTCAGAAGTGTGTGTCCTCAAAGATATGACCAAAGTCTATCGTATCGCTGATTATGATGCCTTCCCCTGAAGAACTGTCATACGTTGAAAATAGGATTGTCAGCCACCACAGACTTCAGCGGAAGCACTTTATCAGGCGCCTTAGATCTGTATAGAACTCGAGAAGATTCCGCACAATCCAGTCAGCTCCACACAGATGACAAACGTGGGCGATTCGTGATTCAAGAGCCTATAGCATTACAGATACAGCTTTCAATATTCTATGGATATCGCTTTAAAGTCCTGTGGTTGTCCTATCAAAGACCACACTAATTAAGACTAATGACTGACAAGAATATCCGAGGAAAACGCAGGAAAAAATGTGAAAATTTCCGTCCTGAAGATACTCGGTAAGACCGGGAGCCAAATCTGGCCGCCCCTAGGATAAGCTTGCTTTCTTCTTTATTGTTCATTATGCATAAAACAATTGTTGATGTACCTCAACTATCGCAGAAGATATTGCTCTGATCCTGCGTTGTACGCTTCGAGATTGGATACACACGACAGTTTCAAATTTTATTGTCAAAAATAAGAAGTGTGTTCGGGAATAAAGCCTCCAATGTAGGTGTTCTGCCATCCCTGTTGTATAGTTGGGATCCATTTGCTTGATATTGATAAAATTACTGGTGTGGCCGTTCGAATTTATCATCAAAGGCAACCATCGGACATTTTTCACAATGATTTCATCCTCAATCGAAAACGTATCGTCTCTAGAGGATACCCGTTTCCACCGTCTTGACTGAAGTATCGACAATACGTTCTGGACCGGCCATGGTGTACATAGATGAACTCGACTGAAGGCCCCGATAGAAGCTGTTCTAGATGAAAATACGATCCGCTGTGATTTTTGCTGTGATTCGGAAGAGACGGACTTAGTTTTGCTAGGTTTGAAGAGATTCACGATTCTGACAATACTTACAGATTTTTTCGAATGATCCCCAACACCAGTGGGTATCCGTTTGTCGTTTGCAACTTCTTGATTGAATCCTTGTATCACCAGTTTTATGTATGACATTCTCCCACTAGTTTCGTTTGTGAGTAAACAAAGTATTGACCCGAGTAGTAAACCTTAGAAACGATTGGCAAAATGTCAACTCTCAACAGTGGTGCCGTTTTATATTATATTGTTCGTGTCTTCTTTGTCAAAGTGTGCCTTAATGTGCCGAACAATGAGTCATACTGTGTTTCGGCACAGTGTGCAGATTTGATTGCTTCTTGCAATATTCTTTATTTCTGAAATTTTGTTAATCAAATATCAAAATACCCAGTTGACTCTTCGACAACTAGAAACGGAAACTACTATTTCGTCCAACGAGAAATAAGAGCATTTGAACATCAGAAGTCCATTCAAAAGATTCTAAGTCCATTCGAAGCTAAAGCAATGATAATTTATTTAGTGAAAAAGACGATTTGGGTTTGATGCTCAGATTTGATTCAAGCTGTTCAATAGTAAGAAAATATTAGTATTCGGAATTAAAAAAATATAAAAAATAGTATAACATATTTTCCCCTTATTTGAAAAATCTGAAAAATCTGTATATTTTTGAAAAATCTGTAATCTTTATATACAGATATCTGTATCAAAATATTGACAAACATCTGTATGATTACAGATAAATCTGTATATGTGGCATCACTGCTTGTTTCGTCTACTTACTACTCTCTGACGACTGTGCTGGGGAAGCAGCATATGCATGTAGGTAATTGGTGGATTTGTTAGTTAATTCGACGCTTTTGGACAATGCTGGACATTTACCAGTTTTCAATACCCAACAAACAATTTGAGTTGATCAACAGCTGAGTAAGCCATTTTTTAGCCGAAGAATCTTATTTTTGCCTGAATAAGCTCTTATTAAACATTCAATGTTTGTTGGGTAGTTTCTTGTTAAAAATCAACATTCGAAAGCATTGTTATCCATGCGTAGTCATATTTCTGATCGATTGGTGATAAAATTATTGAAATTGGACCAGGGGCAGCTGAGTTATTAACGTTCAAAATCTTTCTTAATTTGTTACATGTTCCATTTTCTGTTTTCACAAAGTGTACCCCCATATAGAAATCAAAGACGTAGTCCTACATCAATACTGAATTGCTAAAGAAGGAACAATTTATAAACACTTAGATATATACCATAACAATTAAAGGCTGGTCAGTAACTGTAGTAGCCGGAGCACCTAGGTTAAAATGAAATGTAATTTATTTTGAATTTGGAACAAATAAAGAGTTGAAAAATTGATTCAGAAGCTGTTGCGCCTTTAGAAGCTTAAACTAATTTTGATTAGTTTATTGCCTGAAAACCTCTTAAATAAAGTTAAAAAAAAATCCAATAACTTCCCATGAGTAACAAACAAAATGAACATCTCTCGGTTAGAGAACTTTCTTCTCGAGACATTTTCCCGTCGATCGACCGATGTGTGCCGATGAGAAGATGTATACAGAGTGAAGGGCAAGAGAGAAGCGAAGTGCGCCCCATTATGGACGAGTGCATCTTGCACCGCACAGAAGTAGAGTGCATCGTAAACCGACCTCGGCGAGAGTGCAGAGTGGGAAATTTCCCTCTCGCAACTCCCAACCAAGCTCCAAGCTCCAACAGCACCAGAACCGAAAGCAAGAGAAAATCCGAGCGAGTAAGAGCGGGAGAGAGTGCTCCACTGACTCACTGACTGTGGCCGTCGTCCGTTGAATGCCTGGAGCGCGGCGGTGGCGACGACGACGACGACGGTGGGTCGCAGATCAAGTTTCTGGTCGCTCGCTGTCGTCGGTCGGTCGGTTGGGATTGGAGCTCGAATTAAAGCTCCCCAATAACTGTATCGTTAGTATTGTGGAGTACGCGGCATCGTTCGGTCGGGCTTTGAACAGAGTTATTACTCCCTCCGGGATTTGTACGATATTCGCGCGCGGTGGTTCATTTTTTGGTCTCACCCGTAGAGTTCTCTGAGCTGAGGTTTTGAAGTTTTTGAGCGGGTGGAGAAAGGTGGTGGGCTTGTAAGCTCTTCGGTCGCGTCGTGGTGTGTTATTTTTTTTTTTACGTATTTCTGTGAAGGAACCCACCCGTAAGAGTGCGAAGTAGTGAGTGGAGTCGTTGCACCAATCCGGTTGTCATATGTTTTGTGTGTTGTTCCCGGTTGTTTCACGAGGGCAACCGGTCGCGTGGTGGTGGTGATGGTGTGTGTCGTCATACTTTCCATGAATGGAAGAGGGTACGCGCGGGTTGAAATGCCAACGGCGACGGTCTGAATAGTTTCTGCAAATAGCGATACCCCGAGGAAAGTCTGGAATAAGAGTTGCTTGGTGCGGTCATTTGGCCTGGAGAGATAGAGTGGAATATCGATTCACACGGTGGCGGCGGTTTGAAGATCTGTTAGATTCATTAGGAGTGTGTAGTCAGCGTCAGCGGGGTTCGTGGGAGTCGTGTCACGGTGCGGTGGAGCGACGGAGGACAGACAGACAAGCGAAAACAGAAGAAGAATTTGTTGTTGGATTTTCGCCGCTGCGGAGAAGCAGTCAACGTAGAAAAGCCTGAGCATAAGAGTTAGTGAGTAGCGGTGAGAGTCACGAGAACATCCGTGCAGTTATGATGGCAGGGGACACCTGGAGCATTGTACCACCGGGTTTTCGTCATGCCAAGTGAGAGAAAGCAGTTTTGCTAAATGGATAAGCTGTATACTGCAGAAATATTGAAACCACGGAAGGCGGAAGTTAATCAAACGTCCAACTTTCTATCGTCGTTAATGGGGGATACCTAAAAATAGAGGATAAACTCGTGCTCTAGTTGGACGGAAAGAATCTCAAAACAAAAGTGTCAAAACGCGTTGATCCATTTATCGCACCCATGTAAATGAGTTCGAATCGGATGGAAAGTACGTAGAAATACGGTCGTTTTGGGTGAAGAATTCCACCATTTGTGAACATATGTTTTAGTGATCTTCTGCAGTGGGGAGCTAGTCGGCCACTCGATCGTTCTCTGCACCCACTTTTTTGTTTTTGTTTTGCTTCGTTTCCACGCGAGTCTCGCGGCGCGGTTCAACACATGGTGCGCGCCTCTGAATAGTTACGAAACCACGCCGTCGCCGTCGCCTTGACGAACGAATAGTGGACGGTAGGCGAAAAAGCGAGCAAAACACGCAAAAAGCACACTCAAGGTTGTTGGGAGGAAAACAAATAGCAAACAAAAAAGAAGAAAATTTCCACGAAAAGTTGTTGTTGAAAAAGAGGAAAAAGAAGAAGCAGAAGAAGGAGCAATTGCAATAGAAAGCGAATAAACGATTCGCGAGAAGAAACGTGCAAAAGTGAGTGACGTGTGACGCCTTGTAAGTGCGACGAAACCAGAGAAGCATCCAGCATCAGCAGTAGAATAAGGAAACGTGTTGGTCTGCTGCAGTCAGCAGTTGCGTCGATCTTCTGCTGTCAGTGTGTTTGTGTGCCGGTGTGTGTGTGCGTGTGGATTCATGTGGAAAATCGAGATCTTTGGCGATTGCAAATAAGGGAAAAAAGAAGTCGAAGATATTGTGTTACGACGGCCGCCGCTGGGTGGCACAGCAGCAGCAGCAGCAGCAGTACTCACGAGTCAAAGTTGGATTAATTTTCTTCGGTGTGCGGTTTTCCCTCCACCCCGGTTCGGTGTTGCAGCAGAGTGTACAATACACGCGAATAGAGTGTGCTCAGGTAAGTGAGAAGCATTGGGGATCTGGCTGCGGTTCACAGCCAGTAGTGTATCGAAATGCTGCGGTTGTGAATTGAGAAGAATAGAGAGGGGTGAGGAGCAATGTGCTATTAAATTCATTATTGATTGTTTGGCAATTCGGTCGGCGGGCGGGGCGGTTGAAGTTTACAATAATTTGTTTAGCCTTTTTTTGCATGCGTTGCGTAGATGAGGATGAAAATTGGAGGCCTTGAATTTGAATGTTGATCAGTGATGTAATTCTATATGCGTCGAACATGAAATCAGGGGTTGGATTTTGGATTTTTCGAGAATGAATCGAGAATCCAACACGCAAAACAAATTTGGCTCACATCCAATGTAAGGTTGGATTTATTACATCCTCTGCATATGTGTCATATAACATGAAGAGTTTGATAATGCTGATAGTGGGGATATTTGTAAAAAAAATGCAATCTTTTTCCTAAATGTATATAAGAAATCCGATGATGTTCTCAATTTAAACTAGTTTTCCTACCTGTCTGAATACAAAAATAATGTATCAGTTGAACATATAACTGTTCAAAAATTTTTGAAGGCGTTCGAAGGTCTTGATGCTAGCATACGACTGGATCCTGATGGAATACCTCCATTATTACTTAAAAAGACTAGCAACTACTTTCGTAAAACCATTGTTTATTTTGTCACTAAATTCAAGCGATTTTCCATTAGTTTGAAAGAAATTAAGCCCAATATTTAAATCTAGTAAATGGTCAGATATTAAAAATGATAGAGGTATTGCAATTATATCATGCATTCCTAAAATGTTTGAAGCAATTGTTAGTGAGAAAATATTCAACCAGGTTTAACATTGCATTTCAAATAATCAACATGTTTTTTTTTCAAAAGTCGGTTAACATTTTTCTTTTAAATCTTTATTAAGGAGACTTTCAGAGCGGCGCCGGTGGTGTAGTGGTAAGCGTGATAACCTCTCACCCCAGCAGGCCTGGGTTCAATCCCAGTCGGCGCCGCCGGGATGTTCTGAGGCATAACATCTCTGATCACGCCTTCCTTCGGATGGGAAGTAAAGCCGTTGGTCCCCGGTTCATGAGCTGATGGATCGATCCTGGCACGTCGGTAGCATTGGTGCTCAGCACGGAAAACAAGATCGACGAAAAAAAAACAAACCAAAGGAAAAAAAAAAATTGGCTCACTTCTTAACTAGCCTATTGGTCCCAAGCAAATAGATTAACGTACCCCATTCTAGTCGAAATTCTAGTACTACAAATGTTTGTTTTGATTCGCTATGAATTTTTGACAGATAAAATGAGGGGCTCGTGGATTTTCCTATGTTTCGAGGGGTGCATCGATTAGCTTGGGACCGAAGATAGTACCAGAGCTGAGCCAAAAAGTCGAGCTCGTTTCTTCGGGACCTTCTGGTCTTAGAGTTACCTCTATGCACAGTGGTTTAAAAGTGCAAATTCGTGAACTTAATTGTTTTCTGAGATGTACGTACGTTTTAGCATTAAGGTGTCTTCAGAAAATTTTCATAGTTCTGGATTCCGCACCTTTTGGAATGTTCACCTTAACTTTTATAAGGTGCAACTGCACTTCAAACAACAAACTTTTTTATATTAACAGATATCGAGATGATGTCTTGTACACATTTGTAGGGCTTTCAATTTCAAGAAACTTTGCTGAAGACATCAAGTTGCCATGACTTCATTGTATGAAGATATAAGAGATTATTTGCCAGTTGCACCTTAAAATCAGTTGTTTGAGTTTTTCTATGTCTTATTCACGTTGTATCTCTTTGGTGTATTCTGCAAAGTTTTAGATAATATTTAAACACACAACTTTTCTCAAGACACCAAAGTGCTATGATTTGATTGGCGAGAGATATAGTGATTTTTAAGCAAAAAATCACCCTTTTTCAAAAAGCTATAACTAAGCTGACCGCAAATTGCCGCACTTGCAACAAGTTTCATTTGAAAGCTCAAAATTTGTACTTGAAATGTTGTGGAGATCATTAGTATCCGTTAGTATCCTGGAAACTGTGGTGGATTTTAGAAAACAAAGATTTAAGATTTTTGTATGGGGCTATTCAAGTAAAAACGATATTTTGCTAACTAACAATGGTCTTGATTTTTTGTTTAATTTCTAGTTTGTTTTTACTTATTTTAAACTAACTTAAAAGTAAAATAACATGTTAAACTAATCCAAACATAAAACCAAAGTAACAATTAAAAATTTCTGATAAACAAATTAAACTTCAAAATCATCTGAAACATCATGTTCATCCTCCGAATCCATTTCTTCTCCATTATCTAAGCTCAACAAGAACTTTGCGTCTTGAGACAAATTTTTTGTCTCCTTTTTGGGGCTTTTCCGCATGTTTGAGATTAGTGGATCTGAAGACACTAGCAAACGGCGAATCAAATCAAGATTCAAGATCGTTCTGGAACATTTTCTAGTGTGGTCTCGGCGGTATCGTTTGAGGTCTTTATTCCTCGATTCCTGTGCTTCTTCGGAAAGCTGTCCGATAGGAACCGTGAAATGATTGATGACCTGGGCACCATGAATCAGGATTTTATGCACTGAAGCTGGCATGTAGTACCAGGGGTATAGGTCCACTAGATACTTTGCTGTTTCAATGCAATAACTAGTATTCCATTTTATTACCTGTAATATGGTACCACATCGTTCCAGTGCTGTCACATCCAGTCCAGTTATTGCAGCTGTTTTCTTGGGATCGGAAAAGAAACGTCGGGCAGTATTGCCGTCGTTGGACGTTCCAGATCCTCCAGGCTTAGGCTTGTCAACAATCAGGCCAGTTTCCACTTTGAACCGTTTTTGGATTTGATTCTTTCTTATCTTCATGGCTTGAACATTCTGTCCTCTTACCTGCCATTTTTTAATTTCAAGTCGGTAAGACAAGTGAAGAAAGTATTCCATAAAGCTATAAAATATTGATATTGTATCAAACCATAATACTTAACACTTAATTTTAATAAATCTCACCGGATCCAGGCATGCAAAGTTGAAAGCCCAAACTGGAAAGCATCGCTGTTCTCCACGCGTTCAGTTACTGAATCAAGATTGTTCATCAATTTCGGGGTTGCATTACAAATATAGCAAGTTTGTGACGATTTGTTGCCCGTAACAGCATTGCAGACCTTTCCGTCTACCATTGTCAAAACCATCTCATAGCGCACAATAATGGTACGGCCTTCTACCGTAATTACTGTTGGAACAAGCTGGTCAATCTGATTCTCTATATGTTTCTTCTCGTTGATTGATACTTCCGTAGTTTCACTCACGAGCCGAATCCTCACAGGTCTAAAGAATCGGGTTGATGATGGTCGGGGATTTTGGAACAAAACTTTTCCGTTTACATCTGCCTTAATAGGAACTAAGGAAGTAATAAACATATTTGAATCACTAGATTCTCCGTCGTCATTCTCAAATTTTTGTTTGTACTCCGCATGTCCGCTGCTGCCATCGAATCCCCATTTTACCAAAAGGACAACCTGAGGAAAATAAATTATTGGTTCAAAGTCTCTATAATGAAAATAAAAAAGGTACAACCTGCTTGAGCTCGTCATCTGAAAAATCTTCAAGATGCTCCTTGTTTGCCAAAACAATCCTACTTGAGGTATGGTCCAAAAGCTTTTGAAGATTTACTTCGGCATTTTTTTCATCAACCATAATAAATTGATCTTCCGGATAGCACTGTTTCTTGGCATTGAATTTTGTTGTACGACGGGTAAATATTCACGTTTCTCAGTTTTGCTTCTCCTTGGATTTTGAGGTATTGTGACTTGGTCAAGTTGGCATCTATGATCATTGCTAGTGCTTCCAGGTCAGAATACTGTAAGGGCTGCTTCTCCTGAGAATTTCTCCACGAAACAAGTATCTTTGATGCTCGGGTAGGGGTTGTCATTGTTGCTTCCTTCACTACTTTTGCCGCATCTACGGATCCACCTTCACGCAACTTCATTTGAGTAGCGTAAGTCAAGTTGCTAACGGAATGACCCCGTCTTAGATACGCAGTCTTTCGGCGTTTTACAGCATCAGAACTATCTCGGAAAGGTGTCGTTGTTCTACCTCGGCTTGTTGAAGGAAGTTCAGAGAGCAAGAGAGTGGGAAGATTGAAGGGTTTTTCGAAGTAGCGGATATTGCATTTGATCATTTTTGTCTCGGATCGGTGGAACTTGCGATAAAGCTTTTTAAAATATTTGCCAATCGGTAACAGAGCCTTCTCCACATCATCTCTATTTAAATCGGACTCGTCAATGTTGTACGCTTTATACACTTCTTGACTCATTTTTTGAACTGTTTCAATTTCATTTCCTTGGGTTTCCTTCCAGAGTTGCAGCAACTTACGCTTATCAATTTTAACTGAACAAAAAAGTTAGCATGTTCCTTCAATGTTTCACAATTTTCAATAAATTTTACGAAGATTAAAATCAATACCTGATGAATAATTGGACATTTTCGATGGATGTTTCTTGAAAACGATGTTCTGATCTTCTCTTGGTCCTTGAAATGCAGTAACAGGTCTTACGACAGCAGCCGACAAACTATATTTTTTTTCAAATAAAATATATAGTTTGCTTTGATCATTTTTCCTCCTTAAAAACAAATTACAGTCGAATATCCCTAGCTCGATATCAAAGGGTCCATTGTGTAAGAGAGGATGTCAAAATCTTTTTGTATTAAAAACATCACTTTTAAATTCGGTGTTATGTTTTGATTAATCTTACATGTTATTTTACTTTTAAGTTGCTTTAGAATAATAAAAAACAAACTAGAAATTAAACAAAAAAAAAATCGAGACCATTGTTAGATAGCAAAATATCGTTTTTACTTGAATAGCCCCATACAAAAATCTTAAATCTTTGTTTACTAAAATCCACCACAGTTTCCAGGATACTAACGGATACTAATGATCTCCACAACATTTCAAGTACAAATTCTGAGCTTTCAAATGAAACTTGTTGCAAGTGCGGCAATTTGCGGCCAG